TAAAATTAACACACCATAAGTGCAGAAACAAAACTTCAAACTAATTAAAGCTAAAAGTTAAACAACCTTAAGGGTCAGAAACAAACATGTACAAAAACCAAATAAAACTTAAGTCCCTAAACTCAAATTAAAATTAAACAACTTAAGAAAACCTTTAAAGCAACCAAACCTTAAATTTAAACTTTACAAAAGTTACAATTTAACCTTACAAACAACTTTAAACAAACTAAAGCAAAAATTAATAACTTTAATTACTGATGAAAACAGAATAAGAAACTTAACTTAAAGCTTGAAAATAATAACAATTAATACATAACAACTAAAATCTAAGAAATTGACTAGCATAACAATAATATAATCATATACTTTAAAAATAAAAAGCGTGAATGTTTTTAAAAAAAACATTTGTTACATCTGAGTCGATTTTTCATCCAGAACCTAGTAAAAGTTTTGGCATAAGGAAATATTACGTGAAATTTAAACTTACGAGCAAAAAAATTCTAATTAGCTTCCACGTCAAAAAATTACTTTATAACAGTAAAGTAAAAGCTTTTTAATATTTAATTAGCGCTATTAATTTCCTTAATAGGTACTAAAATGTTATAATTAATCAAGGGTATTAATACTTTAAAACCCCTTTCTCTGATGTTTTTTTCCCCACTTTTGTGACAAAATGGAAGTTTCTGAAATAAGTATTTATTAAATTACTTTTCTAAGATAATTTCCATGATCTTTCGCGATGTATAAATTTCCAATGCTTTTATTAATAGATTAAATGTGAGTGAAGATAAATATTGTGTTTAAAGAAGGTTAGTTACCGCTTTGAGAAATGAAACTGCATGAAAATGGAACATTTAAGTGGTAAATTAAGAGACATTATAAGCCGTAATCAAACATCGAACAAAACTCTTAGCAAAAAAAATTAAATTTTTTTGCAAACAGTTTAAATTAAAAATTGGTTATTTTTCCCTTGTCAGCCTCTTGAAAGGATTAATAGAACTGTGTAGACTGTACATGGCAAAAGAATCCAGTAATAAATTTTACAAATTAAAAGATCAACGTAATGAGTATCAGTAAAATTCTTTATAGTAACATTTATTTGATTTTCTTCAAAGTAACTAAACTGTTATCTGCGTTTGGTTTAAATGTAATCGTCATTTAGTGTCAAAGTATTTACTAAAGTAGTCTTGCTCCATCATACTTTCTCTGTACTCACTCCACATCCACATACAACTATAAAAATATCTAATGTGGATCCCACGTGACGTCCTTGTACAGCATATTAAACTACACACATTATTTCTTGCCTTTCATTTAAGCTTATTTCCTCGAATCTTATTAGAGATATATTTCTCATTCAATTAATTCAGTTCTCGCAACGCGGCAAGGCAAAAATACGTAAAGCCTCAAGACCTCTTCATTAAAATTTGCAAAATGCAGAAAAACATTAAACACCAAATTATGTTAAAACAGTTAAAAAAGCAATTTTTAACAATTAAAATTAGAGTTCCTACGCAAAAATAAGCAATTCAGCCAACGAGCAGGAAATTTAGTAATATATTGTTGCGAAATGCCCAGCTGCGGTAAGAGAGCTTTCCAGCAAAGCGGGTTTAGGTTTGCCAGAAATGGCAAGGACAGGCAGGGTTTCCATATACGGTGCGAAATCGTCCATTTGGCGACAAAACAGGCGATATTCCATTAGACGGAGCGAGAGCATTCTAGAACTAATTCTTGCCTGTTTTCCCTCCGGAAGACATGTCAAAAGCTATATAAACTCTGTTTCTACGCGGAGTAGCAGTTTATCGTGAAAAGTACCTTGGGTATGTTTGGTTGTAGTGTTTTGAGTTTTGAGCGATCGACCGAGTCGGAACCTGCACTTTTAGGCTTTGCCGTGAAGCTGTCATCTCCGTTATAGCCTGAAGGTTGTGCTGCTGATTGTTTCAGTGTGGTCTTTGGAAATGTCCTGTGTAATACTGACGAAAAAATTGTGTGTTGATTCTTCATCAAGTGTTATAACCAGTCACTCCAAATCCACGAACCCGTAGAACTCAACAATATGATGCCAGATAAGCATATTATACCTGTTTACTTTTGATACTACAAATAATCAGAAATAAACAAATAATGAAGTCATTATAGGCACTGTCATAATTTGCTTAAATCTATAGTGACATTATATGTAGTAATATCAGCAATGAGAGCATTGATATGTAATCATAACAGTGATTTAGAATAACACTGCTTTGACTATAGTGTTACGAAATGTACGGGCGCGGTAACATGGCTTCCCCGCAAAGCAGTTTTAGGGTTGTCAAACAATGGCAAGGAAAGGCAGGGTTGCCAGATTTGGCAAAAAATCGCCCATTTGGCGACATTTGGCGACAAAATTAGCATAATGCCATGGACGGATGGAGAACCTTCTGGAACGAATTCGTACTGGTTTAGCCCAGAATGTTCTCGAACACAAGCCGAAAACTATATAAACCCTGCTGGTCCGCATTCAGTTAGTGTGTCTGCTGGTCCGCATTCAGTTAGTGTAGTTTGCTTAAATCTATACTGACATTATATGTAGTAATATCAGCAATGATAGTATTGATATTTAATCAATACTATCATTGCTGTCTCAGAGTGTATTATCCTCAGAGTGTCACTATGTATAGTGTGTCTCAGAGAGTGTGCTCCATCGAGAAGGCGAGTGAGTGTGCCTCGTCTAGTCAATATCGAGTGTGTGTCTCGTCTAGCGAGTCACTCCCTGCGGAGAGGATTGAGTTGACAGCCGGGCAGCGAGTGTCGAGTGGGTCGTCGAGCGCACCGAAAGAGTCTCGTAGTATATCGCGGTTAGCGTATCGTTCGAGAGAGCGTGTTGAGCTCCGGGAACGACTGAACCGAAGAGTCGGGAGCTGTGCTCGTGTGTCGTCGAGTGCATCGCGAGTTGTAGCGTGGAAAATCTCGAAAGTACATGGAGTTCCGATAACGACCAAGCAGAGTCGGGAGCTGCACTCTAGTGCTTTGCCGTGAAGCTGTCTCCACCGTGATATCCTGGAGGCTGTGTCGCTGATCGTGTCAGCGTGTTTATAGTAGTTCATCGACGACTGTAAAAACGTGTTTTGGAGCTGTCATGACAATACTGGCGAATAAAGTGTGTTTCGATACTTCATCAAGTGTCGTCGTTATTCACCCCAAATCTATACGAACCCCTTTCGAACGCAACAATATTAATACTGACAAATGATAGTATTTATCGTTGAAATACTTTGAATTTTTATGCTGACAAAATTGTTTAAATAACAGTGTTTAATAATTGATAAACCTCAAGTCTTTGATGGTAAATAAAAATAAACAGACTCAAAGAACTTCAAAAGAAACACAAGATGATCTTCATTCCGGAAAATTACATTAATCTGAGGGGTAATTAATAACCAAAAGCAAGTTATTTGCTACATATTTAAAGTACTTAAAGAATTTAAAAGCAAAGAAAGGTAGTTGGATGAAACTGTTAATTAGTATTCGATCGGGGAGTTGAAAGTGGGGGATTCACTAAAATGAAACGTTTTATATTTAGAACCAAAAGATATTGCAGAATAAATTAAAAAAACAGATGGGGAGTTTATGCCTTTGCTCAATAAATAAGGTAGTTCGCATATTTTTCAAACGATTTGCATTAAATTTACAGAAATATTTTACCTAAACGTTTTATTCTATAAATGTTCCATTTGATAACCCTTAATCTTCACTATCTTTCCATCCGTAATTTCCAAGGCAATAAATCCTTTAATCGAAAGAGATATTTTATCCCATTCCTTATGAACAGCTTTCCAGATTCCAAAGGAGAGTTGTATGTCAATATTTGGATAATTCGCTTTTTAAAGGCTGTATATCTGCGGATGTACAGCTGTACATCCGCGGAATCACAAACATCCGCGGATGATTCATCAGGAAATTTAGTAGGAATATGAGTGAAAGGGTATGAATAAAGCCCTGATATTCGTTTTTTGTTCCATTTTTTCTCAGAAAATTAACAGTGAATTTTGTTTGATGTTTTGTTTTTTTGGCTACTTGCTTCATGCAGTTCTATCGTTTGATGACCCTCGTGTGTAAAGAGAAGGTATTTCATATCTGAGCACTGGGTATAAAATATGTTTCGATAATATGTGGAGTTGACCTTAACAGTTTCTTGCATTCCTTTTAATTTTTATTTTCCGTTATATAAAAAACCACCAACAAGCATAAATCCCTTGAAAACTATTTTTCCAATTCTTTGAACCAGGCTCTAAGATTTTTTTTCATCTCTTTAATAATAATAACTGGATCTCCTTTTATTGCGGTCATTTAAGAATACTCAAGATTCAAAAAGTGTGACAACACTTTTCAAGTTTTGTCTGAATAATTGTTTCTCATAGAGAATTCTGCAGCGCGTTCTGCTTTCGGCGATATGCCGTGGAGAAAGGCGATGCGCATTACGTTTTTCCGCCTTTTTAGGCTTCAAATCAGCCCTACTCACTTTGGTTACTGTTAACAATGAACATTTTAATAATTATAAAACTGTCCTTAGACTTCGCGGATTTTCTTTTAGCATTAAAGTTCTTACCTTTGTAACATTCGAAGCATTCCGTTTTTTCTTTGGATATGCATTTTGAACAACGTTTCTATTTGAAGCCAAACTTTGACGGCTTTTTCCATTCATTTTGATAATATTATCTATCGTTGTTTTACATACCGAAACACCACGACTTTCACAGCATGTTTAATAACTAGCTGCGAATAATTTTCATCGGAAGGAGCACAAACATAACCTTTCTTCCATTGCTTCTTTAAAAGCGCCATTTTTAATGAAAACAAAATTGTCTAGCAGCAGACGGTAATTGACACTTTAAAAAATATAGTTAAAAAAACTTCCAAACAGGTGCCTTTTTATAGCAAAACAAAGTCCTTTAAAGATGTACGAATGGCCTGTGTATAAATCTATGAAATAAGTGAAAAGCTAATCATGACTTAGAGAATTCAGCATTGTTTTCGAATTTCTTTTTCAGATATAAACAATATGAAGTGAAGAAGTATGAAAACTGAATCATCAAGTTGATGCGACAGATGCAGATTTGAATGGCATTCAATGATTTCACTGCACCAGATTTCATGATAGCTGGATTACTCATGATAACAGTGGCGTTGTTACTGATCAGTGAGTATAATATTTTTAACTATTAAACTATTAAAGTATAATCTGTAAAGTAAAAAAAAAAATGCATAAACTGTAAAATGAAGCAAAGGCGTAAAATGCTATATGTCCTTCTTCGTATTCTAAAGTTTACATTAAATTTTTTTCAAAAGGAAAAATGGTTTTACCATGTACTGTAATTTTTTCAAACATTTCTGGAGATATTTCGTAGAGAGGAAGAAAAAGGCTTTTATTAATTATTTTAAAAATATCTCAAAGTTTTCTAGAACATCTAATATCAGTTTGCAAACAAGCTTTACACAATACCATATTTACTGAAAAACTTCGTGTGAAGGCGTCATTGATTTTTGCTAGTAATTAGAGTGTTACAGGTAAAATGCTTTTACATACTACTGTAATTTCTGCAAGTACTTGCGCTTTTTTGTACAAGATGATTCAATGAATTTTCCTAATTCGTTTCATAAGTAACTCGTTAACGGGATCTTAAGTTTCATGTTCTTGCGCAGAGATTTAAGGAAAACCTATTTACGGAGTGGAATTATTTTTATTTTGAATTTTGTAACAAAAGACCTACCAAAATATAGGTAAACAGATCTAATGCCTTTGGAAATAGTTAAAGCTATTTCTTATTTTGTAGTTGTTAGTTAAAGCCATTTCTTTAATAGTTTATCAGGACTACTACGTTTTCTTTGTATTGTCTTTGCAAACACAAACTGGAGTCCTGAGTTTATACTATGCTCCTTCAAGTGTAGAATATACGACACAAATGGGGAAGGGTTTAACTGGTTACAGCTGAAAACATCGCGGCAAAAACATCGCGGACGAAAACGTCGCGGAGAAAACAACGCAAGGTGAAAACGTCGTGCTACAAAACATCGTAGGAGGAAACATCGCAAAGAGAAAACATCGCAGTTCTAAAACATCGCGGTACAAAACATCGTCGTCGAAAATAAAGCGGTTCAAAAACTTCGCAGTTTAAAAACATCGTTGTCGAAAATATCGTGGTAAAAAATAAAGTACCTACAAATCATCGCATGACGATAACATCGCAGACATACTTTTTTCAGGTTTTAATAATTGTAAATGGATATTCCCGTAGTGATTTGTGAGCGCAAGATGGAAAGAAGGATAATTTTTACTTTCATATTTTTTATTAATCAATAAATTTTTGCTGAGAAAATAAGAAGGAAACTTAAGCATAGAAAATAATATAAATAACTTATAGCACTTAATAGAATTTTAAACCGACATAGTTAACTAACAAAGGCCATTAATAAATCATTTTTTATAAAGTTTTTACTGGTAATTTTTCATGAAAAGTATAATCTATAAGTTCCATTTAATTTTCTATGCTTCTTACTTTTTCAGCAAAAAAATTTATTAGTTAATAAAAAAGCGTGAAAGTAAAAGTTATCCTTCTTTATATCTTGCGCTCACAAATCATTATGGGAATATCCATTTACAATTATTAAAATCTGAAAAAGTATGTCTGCGATGTTATCGTCATGCGATGATTAGTAGATACTTTATTTTTTACCACGATATTTTCGACGACGATGTTTTTAAACTGCGAAGTTTTTGAACCGCTTTATTTTCGACGACGATATTTTGTACCGCGATGTTTTAGAACTGCGATGTTATCTCCTTGTGATGTTTTCACCCACGATGTTTTGTAGCACGACGTTTTCGCCTTGCGTTGTTTTCTCCGCGACGTTTTTGCCGCGATGTTATCGGCGGACACCGGTTTAACTACCATTTATTCTTCACAATTTACAGCTGTTCCGACCTTCGGGATACAAAGAGCAGTACTTGTGGTATGAAACTCAAAAATAAGAACTACAAACTAATTAAATTAACCACTTGCGCTACGATTAAACTCCACGGTTCCGGTGCCGTGCGCTACAATATAACAAGCGGTAAAGTATCTCATTTACGCCGCTCCGCGTCTGCGAGTGCAATCCAGAGATGTAACACGAGAAATAAACTGTTTGAAATTAATCATTTCTTGAACCTCCGTGCCTGGTCCTGGGGGGAAGTTGGATCTGTAGTGCGGACTATTGGGTCACGAGAAGCTGAGCAGCCAAGAGTTTGATAAGCTTGTTATGCCTTTGTTCTCTGCATATTCTAAACTTTTTATTGTATTGAAATACTTGTGGTTTTGAATAGGAAGTCTTCGGAACTGTTAAGACAACTTGAATGTAGCCCCGAAGATGTCTGCTTCGGTATCTGTTCTTGTCACAAAGCTGAGGTCCACCAACGGCCGAGCGGTAAAATCACTGTACACAGGTAGTTCCTGCTTGGATTCGATTCCAAGCTTGCTATATAGAGGTTTTTGTAGTTTTTCCCGTATAACTGATACAACCTCTATCCAATGTTAGGAAATGAACGGAAAGTATCTTGCACAACAATTCAGACATACCAAAAATATGGTTCCAATTTTGACACTTTGTTAAACAATCTAAAGGTGAGATGGTGAAGGTTGTTTTCGTAATTGATCTGGAATGTAATTTAGTAAAGTATATTTTTTTAATTAATTTTTTATAAAACGCATTTATCTTGTTTTCATTACTCTTTTGGAAATGATTAACTGTAATAGTTTTAGAAGTGAAAAACCTAAAACCTCTACCACTTACTATAAATTAATCTATTATGTACGCATGTGCTAAGTCTTACATTTGTTGTTTTAATAATGATGAATTAGACATGTGTTTATTCTTGAAAGCAGGATTTAGAAAAACGAAATGCTTATACATAAGTTAATGAAATTCTCTAGCTCAGTTCATACATAAATATTTTACAGCGCTTTGCACTTTTTTTTTTTTTTTTTTTTATGCGCTGTTTACCTATTTAAGTATTATTCACTAAGATAGGAGAATTTTTCAGCTTTAAATTTGAATTCCTCAAAAACAGCAACTTTTAAAAGCCAAATATTAGTTAGTGCGTGAAGTCTCAAAAGGCGATGCAAAAAGCTTTTTAAAACTGTCGGCTCAAATATTTAGCTGTTTAATTAAGTGCAATGAAATTAACAAACTCGTCATCTTCGCTCTTATAAAAAGGCATTAAAGTAGTTAGACAGCAATAGCTTCTATTTGCCTAAAAATTGGCTTGGTTTATTTAATTACGGCGAAGCATTCGAAGGCTAGTTGCCTTAAAGAAGAGATGCCTTTGTAAAGGGCTTTCTAAAAGAAACTGGTTCGTAACCATGTTACACATGCAGAAAACCATGACAGAACCTATGAAGCCAGATCCGTTTGCCGGGATTCAAACCACGGTGAACGGGATATAGAACTACCAATGTTCAGCGACTTTTACCGTTTGACCGCTGGTGAGCCATTCGGCTTCGGAAGCATTTTTTTATAAGCTGCTTAGAAAGAATATACCATATTCGACTCTTCAATACCAGAGTGGCAGTCAAAAAAAAAGAAAAAAAAAACTGAAAGGTTTCAGATTTTAATTTACTCCTGTTACCTTTATTTATTTATTATCATGATCTTTGCACTTAAACCATAAAATTCATTTTAACAGCAATGTCTCAAAATAATTTTTAAAATAATTATATCTTTAGAATTTCCCATACACAGTTCCACGCGCTGGAGATAAAAAGGTTTTCTGTCCCCTCCCGTAGTGTGTTGCCATTGCTCCCTTTTAAATCATTGAGTTAATCAAAAATTCGTTAAAGTTTTACAAACTATGAAACCGATAATAAAACAAATTCCAAATTTCAAATTTGATCTTCCAGATGCCCATATTCGCAGTAAGATTACGTCATTCAAAATTGGATGGCTCTAGGTACCGTTGTTTTATCACAAAGCAAGAAATATACATACATTTATGCAGATTCTTCATTTTTTAATTTCTTCAAAATATAATACAGGGCGATAGTATTTGGTGGCAACAGTTTGAAAAGCGAAAAGTACATTCAGAGTGATTCAATGCAAAATCGCAAAACGAAATATTAGTCCTTCAGGGACAAAGTTCCTGTGAACTAAATAAAACATGAATTAAATTTAAAATTACGAGGTATCTTAATAAAAGAAAAAAAACTTACGCGAAATAATATTTTAATTATGTAGTATTAATTTAAAAGTATATCTAACTTGTTTGGGTTCAAATTGTTTGCGAAACAATGGAGTTTGTGGCAGCACATTTAGATTAAAATCTTTCTTTAGAAATTCTGCTTGTAGATAGAATTTTATTTAGAAATTTTAAGTGATGAAAGTTGATTTGTGAAACGAATTTTTTTTTATCTACTTAGAATTAAAAAATAATAATATGTCAATAGGAAATCAAATAATAAATCTTTATATTTAATTGAAAATATGTGTATTTGTATTTTTTAAGTTAAACTAGTTCATGGTAAAATAGGAATACAAAAGCTGGAAGTATAAGTATCCGTTACTGTTAAATTGTATGATAATTCTTATGAATGATTCGAGTAATTGGTTTTTGTTCTTAAAATAAAAAGTTTACAATTTAATAAAAAGTAAGCTTGAATTAATTTATTTTGAACAGTAGAAAAATTCATTTTACGAAATTAAATCCGATTTTACGTCATTTTCTTTGTATATTACTGAAAAAAACTAATGTTTCATATTTTATGATAGAATAATTGTATGCTTATTTAAGTATTATTAAGTATTTATTAGACGTATTTAAGTATTACCAAGGTATTTAAAATAGTTATTTATAAAAGACTCATTCAACTCCGATATGTACTTTGGTTTTTGCGTTCGCAAATATTTTTTACCATTAAATTTAACTAGTATTCTAAATTTTCCATTTGTATAATTAGAAGCCACAAAGAAGTAGCAAATTGGAAAAAAAATATTTATTATATGCTCTCCATTCCATCATCTTCACTGCTAATATTACATTTTTTTATTTATGTGAGTTATAATTAATTGAAAATTGTTTTTCCCCCTTAGCACTGCCAGTAATTAGTGTTGGACTGAAAATTACTCGTTTCGAAGTACCAACTTTGGTCGTTCCAGGAGATTCAGCAGTTTTAACGTGTTTCTTCGATCTCGGTAAAGAAAAGCTTTATTCTGTCAAGTGGTACAAAGACCACGTCGAATTCTTCCGCTTCTTTCCAAGTCTGTCTCCGCAGTTCATGGCATTTCCAGCACCAGGACTTGATATCGATGTAAGAAAAAAATTTGTTAGTTCTTCTCATACTTTCGAATTGTTTAAAATTAGGATATTTTGTCTCACATTGCAATGTGCACTTTTTTTTTTCAACGTTCCATTACACGGTAGAGGGAAACATATAATGAATGACCTGAACAGCAAATGAGTGATTCTCTGATGAAATCTTGTCCCCATACCTATTAACAATAAATCATTCAACGTTTCCAATCTACATCAAATGGCATCTGTCAAATGATTTACTGTTTAAATGTGCCGAAGTATGTCATGATAAACTAAAATAATATACAAAATGTTCAACTTCTAGAGTGATCCCCAAATACCAATGTATATTTTCCTGAAGAAATGGTTTGGGGATGATTGTCGCTAACTTTCACTAAGCCATTAAGTTTCACTAAGTTAGTATGTTTCACTAAGTCAAACCCTCTGACCGGCCCGAGTTTTGGCTAAAAAGGCACAAACTTCCCAAAATTATCATGAGAAAGTATTACTTTCTTGATATTTAACCAAAATGCTCCTGGTACATTATACCTGGATTTATGTGCTTTTGATTAATTACTTTGCCAAAAATGGTTAGCGACTCTAACTGTCGTACCGAAGCGCCAGGGTTCAAATTCCGGAGAAGGCATGGATGTAAATTGTCTGCCCCTTCATAGGAGACACTAATGGCCCACTTCTTCGGTCCCCCACATGATAAAGGGACCATTGCTTCTGGCCTTAGTACTGGCCAACGCCTATAATGATTAGTGCCCGCCACTGGAAATTAACAAAAACACTATTGCCTTAAATTCTTTGACATATTCTAAGATTGGCGTATATATGCGTTCTTGCAAACATCGAAAAAGTATTCTAGGACGTATATATACGTTCTTGACATCGCAAAAAGTATTCTAGGACGTATATATATATGTTCTTACAGACATCGCAAAAAGTATTCTAGGACATATATATATATACGTTCTTGCAGACATTACAAAAAGTATTCTAAGACGTATATATACGTTTTTGCAGACATCACAAAAAGTATTCTAGGACGTATATATACGTTCTTGCAGATATCACAAAAAGTATCCTAGGACGTATATATACGTTCTTGCAGACATCACAAAAAGTATTCATCTTCTGTTACTTTTTGCAGCGTACTTTTAATTCCTTTAATTTTTATAGACTTGTGATAATTTCTACTCTTTAATTTGAGAGTAGCAGAAATAAGCAAAACATTTTTTAAAATTTTACTTTAATATTTATTTCTAGTATCGGTAAAACTCAGAATTTGGATTATATACTATTAAAATGTATACTATTAAATAGGGATTCTAACCGGTAAGGAGCTATTACATAAAAGTTAATTAAAGTTACATATGGTTTTGTGCATTTTATATCTTTACAAGTTATAAATTATGGAATTTTATTAAAGATATTAAAATTCAAGTCCCGCATTTCTTGCAATAGCCCTAAATCCTAAATAGTACCATTTTTGTTTTAAACGGAAAGTAATAGATGTTATATTTTGTTTGGACCCCACGTGCATATCGTAAAACATAATTGTGACAAAATATGAAAATGGACGAGCTGATTTCATAGCGATGCAGGATAGAAAGATCCACTTTAAACTTTTGAAAGATTTATTGAATCTCTAGGGAACACTAGATGAAACAACCAAATTTATGCGAGAAGTTCGTAACTTAATTCACGTTTACATGAATTTAAAAGTATCGCAATACACATAGTAGTGATAAAAAGAAGTACATATTCATTTAGAGTGAAGTAGCGATGCTTGAAGTATTGATTGGAAGTATTCCGGTACAAGATTTATCGTATTACCTTCGGATTTGTTGTTGCAGCGTATATTCCTTACATTATACTTATTTGATTTTAGAAATAAAAAAGGCAGAATTGTGAGTAAAGTAGAGAACGGCGAAAGTATTTTAAAATAAAAGACATTCTTTCAAATTTTATTTATTCAAATAAAGCACTCTTTTATAAAATTTAAACTAGAAAATGTAAATTATAATCTCTCCATATATCCATGTTGCTGACTATTCGTCACTGTGCTGTCATAATATAAGACTGCAATAAATATGCGGAGGAAAGTATAAAAAGAGAGGTATTAGTATAATAACGTATTGGGTTGGCAAGAAAATGTAATTGTGGTTTGCACATACGGATAGCGCTATGTTCGTTTTGTTCTTCATCTACCAGTGATATAATTTTTTTCTTTCCAGAGATTTGGTAGCTGAGGTAGCTGACACTTTTAGGCTGCTATAGAAACGAATTCCGTATATTTTTTATTACAACTGTTCGTTTATGGCCATTTTTAACACAGGATGAAAAAAAAAAGAAAGAAAACCATTTTCTACATATTCTACATTTTACTTCCTTGTACGAAGTAAAAAGAAAGTATTTTATTCGCGAAAAGTTTCAAGCATCATATTTCAACGCAAATATCCATTTTCACCGCTATCGAATGCAATTTAATGCAATTTAACGATGTTTTTGCGTGACATCTGTACGTAAGAACAGTATAAAGGACTCTTTTCCCACAAAACAAAATGTAAAACTAATTTAAAATGAATTCTAAAGAGAATTTTTCGTGGCGCCTGAGCGTACGTACGTACGTATGTGTCTCACATTACTCAAAAACGAGTAGCCTCATAACTATGAAATTTTGTATATAGGACTGCTATAACATGAGATGTGCACTTCGTATTTTGGTTGCAATCGGCCGCGCCAAACGTATATAAATATATGTATATTATTCTGTTACCCGCTTTGTGATCTCAGTTTTTTTATTCTTATATACTTGTAAATTGTGCATTTTCTGCTTTAAAAATGATTGAATTATGTTGTTCTTATCTTCCGGTTAAGGTTTTGATTCCTTTAGTAAATATCCATGCAATATTTTTAGATATATCAACAATTTAAAAGTTGTTTAAGTGCCAATAACCCTAATAATTTTTTCCATTGGTTGTTTATATTTGAAACAGTAGAATCGTAGATTTATTGCCAAACTAGAGAACGTAAGCTTCGCAATAACAACGATAACGCCTTCTTTTATTACTGCAAATTAAATCATGCTTAATCCATTCTGGAATTTATTCGAGGAAATATGTGTGAAATATGTGAAATATGTATGATTTACTTCGTTATTTTTATATATATTTTGAGTTTTAATGTATTTTTGCCTTGTCGCGAAGGGAGAACTGAATTAATTGAATGAGAAATACTGTATTGTCTGTGATTTTTTTTTTTTTTGCTGTTGTTGTTGTTCTTTCCTGAATTTCATTTATACAGCTTTTTTTATATTTATTATAGTACTTGAATATAACATGTGTCAAATATTAGATAATTCTTATGATGATATAAATTTTGTGCATTCTGAGTTAAAAAAATGGCCGTTTATGGCCGATTGTCTCTTACTAAGTGATAAGACATAGATATATTTAAAAAATGAACGAAATGTAAGGCTGTTAAGTGAACCCAAGGCCAGAGTGTCGTTATAGTAAAAAAATACAATGAATTTTAAAGAGTGCATTTATTCTATTGTGGTTTATGCGCTATCGACGAAGTAGATTTAATTCAATCCAATAAGTTTAAATGAAATGCAAGAAAAAATGGGTATAATTTAATATTCCGTACAAGGAAGTCATGTATGCACACATCAGATTTTTTATTTTCATAAATTTAAGGAAGACCCTGAGTCTCACAAAGAAATATCTAATGTTTTGGTACTTTTACCTTAAGTTTCAAAATTGGTTTTCAACATTTTGTACAGGTTTGGTCTGGTAAATAAGTAGTGGGACACCCAATGTTTACTATAAGTAATGTAGGTATTGTCTCACCACACTTCGATCTAGAAAAAGCGCAAAAGATCACAGGGCTCACCAAGCTGTCGTGGGCGCGAAACATTTGTTTCACCTCACACTGACAATCCCGAGACATTTCTCCCGTTCTACTGACACAATTGACAAAATTCAACTTGCGTTTTTCATGTCTCGAAAGCCAGACTTAGGATATGTAATAAATTCATATGTATATCATTGTTCTAATATAAGTTTTTGATACAAACGTGGACTTTTTCTGAAATTACACGCCATTTGTTTTCCATATTTCAATTCTAGGACTCAAATTAAGCCAAATTCCCAAGTTTTGAAAAAAATCCACGAGTCGGGTTTTAACAAAAAATCGGATGTGTGCACCACATGACTTCCTTGTACGGAATATTAAATTATACGCATTTTTTCTTGCATTTCATTTAAAATTATTGGATTGAATTAAATCTACTTCGCTTATAACGCATAAACCACAATAGAATAAATGTACTTCTTTAAAATTCATCTTATTTGTTTACCATAGCGACACTCTGGCGCTAGATCTTTAACAGCGTAATATTTCGTTCATATTATAACTCAGAATGCACAAAATTTACATATCACTTGAAGAATTTATCCTAATCCGTTGCCAGACATGTTCCTATTCAAATACTGTACTATAATAAATCTAGAATGATGTATAAAAGATATTAAGCAAACAAAAAAAAAAGAAACAGTTTTTCCACAGACGATTGAGTAGTATTTCTCATTCAATTAATCCAATTCTTACTTCGCGACAATGGCAAACAATACCTAAAAACTCAAAATATCTATATTAAAAATTGTGGAAGTAAATCTTAAACACACATTTCCTCTAATAAAAAATTCCAGAAAGGATTAAGCAGGATGATTAATTAGAATCGCAATAACAAATGAAGGCGTTATCTTTGTTGTTGCGAAACTAAGTTTTCTAGATTGGCAACAAATCCACAAGTCTGCTGTTTTAAATGTAAACAAGCAATGGCCGCCATCAAAAAATATTATTAGGCTTAGGCGCACTTAAACAACTTTAAAATTGTTGATAGTTCTAAAAATATTGCATACAGGTTTACTAAAGGCATAAAAACCTTGACCGGAATATAAGAACAATATAATTCAATCATTTTTAAAGCAAAAAATGTACAAT